CCCTCTTTTTAAGAGGTGCAATATAAATACAAGTTATTAAACAAAACTGAGATCTAAAAAATAAGACTAGGTGATCTGGAGAACATCTGTCCGTGGCAAATTCCAGTTGTGAGATTTATGTTTCTGAGGGTCACTCCACTCAAATCTGGGGGACCTGTGTAACATGACGCTGAACAACCTTCATAAAATATTAACAACTATGCTGGGCTCATACCAGAAGGTCGCATCTTTACTCTACAGGTTATCAGTCTTAAAATGCTACACTTTGACCAGGATTTATTCTGTCTTTGAAAAAGCAATAACTAGATGTTACAGGCTTATAAGAGCAAGAGGAATTCAAATTCGAGGTGTTGTAATCACTGTTATGGAAAATAGTTATAGTCCAGAAAGAAAATCGCCCTTGAAAGCATCACATTTTTACCGATGATTACATCTAAAATAAAGAAGTTCTCTAAAAGATCAACTGTGCTATTGAAACTAAGGTGGTGCATAAAGGTTGCATATAATTACTTATTACTTATGTTCATATTCAGTTTATATTTGACTTTAATTACGTAACATTATCTGGAAAAGGTCACAAGAGTTTGACAGCCCTTTGATTGACTGAGTGAGGAAATGGCTCACGGCCGAGCTGCTGGGTACTAAACATTTGACGTATCTGTCATTCACACACGCACACCTATCACTATCTCTGTGTAAACACCTACAACTCCTCTGCTCACAAGCTGTAAACCAGGAGCCTGCTCCACCACAGCTGAGTCAATACTCCTGCGAGCCTGAAAAACGAGTCTTCCAGAGGCAGCAGTGAGCACAAGCTCTGCCTCCAGGGAGATTTAAATATCTCAGTGAAAAAACTCTTCAAGGAAACACAACAGTAACTCTCTGAGGCTTAGTCAAACATACACAAAGTCCTTTGACATGTAGTGAGCTACTGGATGTCCTCAGTTCTTTCTGAGCAAACACTGTTCAGATACAGTATCTCAAACTACTGCCTCCAGTACAAAAACATGATTAAAGTACGATATTCTGAAACGTGACGTCCCTGTAACACTGAAACAGGCAGTTCTGACAAAATCAGTCCGACTGCTTTGCTACTGTCCTCGAAGCTGTTTGATTAATTATTTGTGTAGGGGTTAATATTTTATTGAGCTTGAGTAGCGTCATGTTACACGGATCCTTTGGAGTAGAAAAAGAAATAAAGTGATCCTTGAAGTAAAATTGTGAATGAAAACACATCCAGAGATGGATGCAACTGCAGAGGTTTTAGAGGAAAAGGACACTGCTCACTGATTGGGTCTCTCAGTCAAAACAGCAAGGGCTGCATTTGAACATCGATTGCGTCACAGCAGCACAGCTAGGTTATCCCATCTCGAACGCTCCTTCAAATGTGGGCGACAAATCGCCTGAGAAACAAAGGCTCTAACAGGTGGATCCTTCCTGGTCCAACCTATCCCAGGAGTCACTACGCTTCAGCGATAGACCGTTTTTCAAAGAGGTAATGGTGCCAGCAAGTGACGAGAGATGTGATGTTTGAGTATCACACTTAACTGAACCGATCAGCAAACGGTATGGGGCATTAAAACTTTCTTGTCATGTAAATTTCAGCTTTGTTGCTAGGGCGGGACGAGCTGGCGATGCCAATCACAAAATCTCAATCTCTCAAGCTCTAGTTTGATGACATCGTGAAGTACAGTGGGATTCACGGATGAGGTAATGTGAAGTTTTATTCATGTTACACACCAAACGGCAATGAATGATTGTGACCCATTACCAGTGACCAATATAAACAATGGAAGGAAAAAACTGTGGTTAGTGTTTTTCCTTCATCATAAGTCGTTTGCCCCGAGAAGACATGATGCAGTAAAAGGCGACCAAAGTCAAAAGTCCTGTTAAACCTGAGGATTTCTCTGGTTTTTAAAATTTTGGATCATTTAAGTCACAACTCGACACAATATATAACATAGCTCTGGTCTTTTTAGACATTTTGATGACAAACTGTAACATATTATATCTTGAATTCCCTTTGTTTTACTGGGATTTAACAGCTGTAATAACCTGAAATAGAGTGAATGACAAAGGGATATGTTAGGATATAAAAACATGGAACTTCAGAATATCTCTCACTTGTTTTAGTAATTATTTGCTTATCATATCTTATATAACTGTGTAAAATAACATTGTTAAAAAGTCCTTCCTGACTTCTTAGAAGAACCAAAATATATGAACTATAGAGGAAAGTATTTTTTATTGTGTGTTCCTGTTCGACTCCACGGTCTGTGCGAGCTCTGAGCCAGTTGTCCATGTCACATGCTGTTCATTATCTGGCCTCAGTCAGACCTGTTTGTCAGACTAGAACATGAAGTTTAACATTCACGTCCACTTCTTCTACTGCAGTTACACAACACAGCTGCTCACTCAGTCACGCACACACACAAAATACGCCACTGGGATGAATAGGAAATCAGCAATATCCCTCGGAAATAAACGTTACAACTTGTTTTATTACTTCATAACAATGAACCCCCCTGATATTTTTTCTTGAACTGTGTCACACAGCTTTAATTACTTCTACATTATATACATTATCACTGTCTGGACAAATCTGTTAAATCAATGCTACAGTCTAATGTGACAACACTGTGATGAAATGACAGTGAAACACTATTCAATAAACTATTCCCAGCACCTCCATGCCGCATAACATGCATTCCATTAAGAGCATGGCATTGATGTCACAGCCTTATTGTATGCATGTGGAGTAGCTCTGCTCTCTGTGACTCACAATGACAACTGCTCATTGTGACACACCACTGATGCCTGACAACTTCCAACAGACAACCACACGAGAAAGGATCTGTTTCTAAAAAATGATAGTGAGGCAGCTTTTAATTCCCTGACTTCAGTATTTGGGGGTTTTGTCCTGGATATTGAGCCTCAGAGTGCGGCACCCATGGTGGGTCGCATTCCCACTGTATCTATGGATCTGTGTTTGCTGCAGTAACTGTCCCAAAGCCAGAGCCAGAGAGCCAGAGAACCAGAGAGAAGCCAGAGAGAACCAGAGATCCAGAGAGCCCATCTGCTGAGGGGCCAAATCCCCCCAAAATCGACGCATTCATATAAGGGCACTTTATATTGGATGGAAGCTGCTGACTTGACATCAACAGGACTGGATGATTGATCAATAAATGTCTTAAGTGTTGCTGCTGCGAAAAAATACACCAAAGTCAGCTGTGAAAAGGAAATAAACAAGGGAATGGGATAATACTACTGATGCAAATGAAATAAGAAGTCAGTGCAGAAGCCGCATGCGTCAGTGACGGGAGCATGCTTACCTCGGTGTGATGGTAATCCAGTGTCGCTGCTGCAGAGCTGCACACCTCACTGAGCTGTGTGCGCGCTCAGCTCCTCTCCAGCAGCAGCAGCAGCAGCAGCAGCGTCCTGTCACAGCTCCACACGCACCAGCCTCCACGGCCCCGGCTGCGTCAACACCGCCGAGCACCTTCACAATAAAAGCACAGGAAAATGGACTCAAATGGAGTAGTGGTGGCCACATTCACATAACTGACTTAAAGCAAGAATCTGCTGATATATTACTGGGCACTTGGGGCAATTAAGCGAGTCGTAAACACAACTCAGGCATATGATTACCTTGTAAAGTTAATGGCTAATGTTTTAGTTCACTTAGGGCAATGGGGGGTATTGTTGATTTAGACTATAAGAAGTCACGTTCCGGTCAACTTGGTGCATTAAAAGGGATAGTTGACCTAGAAATTCAATCATTATCACTGACCACTATGCCGATGGGGACAAACCTGGCCTTTAAGCAGATACATGCTCTGTGTTCACTTGTTTGATATGAATGTTTAATGTGGTTTAGATCTAAGCAGTTGGTGTAGTAACATTAACACAATGAGCTGGGACATATTAAAATGCTCCATGAGTTAAGTTTAACCGATGTACTAAAGTGTCTATTGTATAACCATAACAAACCAAATGTCTGAGGATCTATAACTACAACATTGCAGTTTATTCAACAAATAAATTGTTCAGTGCATGTCTCATACATGTTTTTTCCCCTCGTGATTATATTATATATGGATTTTAAACACTTTGACGTGCAGAGCCCAACAGTCATGATTTTACTTTGAAGGTTTCGACCAGAAGTCCCAGCTGTCAACACCCTCACACTTTGTTCTCCCCTTTCCTCAGAGAACTTATCAGAGGAGACACTTTGACACTCAGGGTTCATTATATCAATAAGATAAAAAGTAATTTTCAATTTCACCAAACTGCTGCGAATTTAATGAGATAAAAATCACCAGGGGGCGTTTTCACTTACATGGAAGAATATGTCAGTCCACCTTTAAAGGACAGCGAATAGCACTATCAAGTGGCCAAACCTCATATTGCACGAGAAAGAAATCAATACTGGTGGGAAACGGGGCATTTAAAATAGAGATGATTTCAAGTCTACATGAGGAATATACAATATTATTATATTTCATGGTGAAGTTCAGTACTTACATGAAGACTGATGCACGATTGAACGGACCTCCTACAAGAACTTCATAAGATCCACAAAAGTTGTTTTCTCATCCATGCAGGTCAAATAACCAGTTTGAAAGTAATTTAAAGGTAAGTAAGTAAGTAAGTAACTTTAAGGTATGTCGACAGCATTTGATGGAAAAATATATACAGTATATAAGATAGTTGAATGTAAGTACTACCTTACAAAATATACATTTCTTTTGCGAAGTGAACTACATTAATAATAGATAGATAGATATACTTTATTCATCCCACACTGGGGAAATTACAGCAGCAGAGGGGCATTAAGATAGAGAAAACTGAAGATTAACATCACTGGCCCTGGTTAAATATAAATAATACTTCAATAAGTATAATACAACAAGTGATATAATTATTTTTCTATATTTCATATACATATATAAATTTATATTTCACCTCATTACATTTAAAACACAAAACAATCCCCACCCTAAAACACTTTGATTAGTTTTATTATATCACAGCAATGAAGAAAAAGACAACATCATAAACATACTAAATATCGTTCACATATCCACTGGAATTATGGTAACTGAATAATTATAAGGTAAACTGATTCCTCAAATCAATACAAGAAAAAACAAGCAAACAAACGCTCTGTGTGGATGTTTCTCATTAAATTATCTAAACTTACTTATCTACAGAAGAACACAGAAGAAACTGCTTTTCAACACATATTTCCTTCTTACAAGAAAAAACAACCTGTAACTACAAAGACGGAACCCAGAAAAAAATCAGCATTTGTCGTTCAATCACCGCAGGCGACGAGGTACAGGAGGTGGTAAGTCTGTTTGTTTGTGAGATGGTCTTTGAGGAAGTGCTCGAGTAGGGTGGGATATGTAGCGCTCATGCCCCATCTTCTCTGGCACCCTGCAAAAAAGAAAGCAGTGTGAGGTCAGGCACTGCAGTTGCAAATAAACAGTTGTAAATAAAATTTTGTTCCTTACAGATGTTAAAACTTACCAGTTGGGTAACCTACACTTAATCCTTGGTAACAATAATAATAGCAGTATAAAGAATTATATTTGAGGTAGACTTTTTAAAACTCAGATTGCGCTTCTGCCCGACAGGGAGCAGTTACTACAATAGAGGTGATGTTAAGATAAGATGTTTTTGAAGGCAGGAAAGCAAACTGTGTAGCAGATAAAAGCTTTTAATGTGTTCTCATACTTTTCTCATCTGATAATCTTACACACAGAAATCATTGTATCAAAACACCAAACCCTAAAATGCAGATAAAGCAATCTGGGTGTAGACATTATTGGTATGAAAGAAAGAACAAACAGTTTCTACAAACAAAATGTGCACTCATTCAGAAAACAATGCTGTTTCTGCTTTCTTATTCCTCACAATTGTTTTAATGACATTTGTACTGACATAAATGTAACAAATTAAATTACATTTGAATGTGACATTAGGTAGGAAAAGATAATTTAACCACAACAATTGAAATACTTGGCATTAGAGTATAAAGCTATAGTTATAGAGATAGCGGTTACTGCTACTCCGCTAAAGCAGTTAGATTTAGATTTAGATATTACACCTGGGTTTTTGATGTTCATTGCAAACTGCTTTTCTGAACCATACTGGTTGTTGCTGTTGTATATTAATAATGATTGAACATGGTTTATTTTTAAAACACATTATGCCTTCAACACTTTCTGACTTTGGTTTCCTCCCTTAAGCACAGCTGTGAATCACTGGTGTGTGAACATTTCCTCTTTCTCCTCTGGTCTCACTCATTACTAACTGCAGAATCTCTAGTGGTCTCAACATTTTATGATCTCGAGTATAATTGGTAAATAATACGCACACAATTGTCAGTTTAAATGGCACATCTCACTAAAACTAAAGCATCCAAATACAAAAGCCCTGCACTAAAGCCCCCCCCTCATGAAGATCATGATTAATGGTCTTGACTGAAATCCTGTTGTATGTGTTGATTCAACTGTATCATAGTTTTTGAAGATATATTAAATGGTGCTGTTGAACTTAAAACATATTTGCGTTATGTCCAAAGTTCCTTCTTATTTTGTCCACCCCATCTGAATCCATAACATTATTATCAGTTTGTGATGGGATCTCACCTGCCGTGACGTCTTTCAACAGGGTGACATTCTGACAATCATATTTTGATCTCAACTGTGCACCTATAAAGCTTTGTGACTGTATCTTGTACAGTTGCGATGCTATTGCAGTGACAGACACCTGCCAAAGTATTAAAAACCACCTACAGTAAATGTTCCTAATAGTGGCTCTAGACTGACCTTTCTGGGATCCGTGGAGGAATCCTCGGTGGAGGCATGTCAGATGCAGCATCAGACAGCCGCTGAGGTCGTGGTGGAGGAGGTGGTAGATTTTCTATTGTGTCCTTAAAAAAAATTAAATACGTACAGTGATTGCTTCTAGAACAATTAAATCCAACAATAATCTGCAGTAACTTTACAACCCAAATTGATCAGTGGCTCAAAAGAAAATGTAACTACAACATTATGATCATTAATGAATAGTTTAAGTCAATTTTAAGACAAAAATGCCACACACTATTTTTCTTGAATATGTATGAGAGTAAACTGAAAAATCTATGGATATGAGACTGCTGTAAATCCAAAACAAGTAATCTGAAGACATTACCTTGGGTTTCAATCAGTTTAATTAAAAAAGTCTGGGGGTCTTGACAAATGATATATGTATGTGGTTCTATGCTATCAGTATTTTTAGTGTTTAAGCAGCTGAAGAATCCAATGACGTCTTCTCGGCTGCAAATGTAAAATGATGTAATTTTGCACTGAAGACTCAAATGCTTCTGTTGTTCGTTTCGGACTCACCTCTATATCAGGCTCTGTGCCGCTGCTGCAGCTTTGAACACTATGAACACTGAGTCTGTTGCTTTCAGTGCCTGAGTTAAAGACAAAACAGATTATTGTGGCGAGAAAACAAACGTGAGTCAGAGTTTAGAGCATATGGTGAGATAAGTTGTGAGAACCTGCACGACATGTCTGCAGGAGGGTTTAGAGCAATTAAACAAAGAAACAACAGAGAGACAATATATAAGAAATACAAAGCTGTCATTATTAACCTGAAGGCACAGTGTTTGTCTTTTTTATTATTTGTGTGCACATTTCTGATATATCTACACAACATTTATAAAATATAGTTCTTTTTTACATACAAAAAGCCTGAAGTCATCCCAATGCTCCTTTTTTATTCTAAGCCAGCTAACTTAAAAACAACATCAATATAAAATATATCGAGAAAATAATCCGGAAAGAACAAATAATGTAACTTAAAAGTGTTTAAGTCTCTGACAAGACTCTTTTAGTTCTTATCAAAAGTCACAAAGAACATGTAATTTGTGGGAAATTCATGTTTCTTCTGGTGAATTAGATTTTTTACTGTAAATAAAAGAAATTTAATATATTTTTGTATTTATACACATTTTAATATCTCAGACCAGTTTTCTAAAGGCAAAGAACTGAATCAGTTTCACTTAATAAAGAGTTCTTAGGAAATATGTTGCGTCTTTAAATAACTCTAATGAGGGTATAAATGAATATAATCTGTGTCCAGAATCAACAGAACAAGAATGAATCTCCTCAAAACTAAAGTTATATTTTAAAGTGCATTAAGTCAGAAGACATGTATCTATTAAGGCAGATTGAAAAAGAGGTTCAGCTCCTCTCACATCTGCAAATACTGGTGCTACCTATATCACCACTGCTTCCAAGTGCCGATAGTAACATGTGAGTATAAACTTTTTCTGAACTTTGTAAAATTGAATGGGCTCTTCCCTGACCAATGCCACATTCTTTCAAGTTCTGTGGAAATCCATCCAGTAGTTTTCATGGAATCTCACAGATCTTACAGCTTACAGAGAAACAAACGGACGAGGGTGAAAACACAACCTCCTTAGTGGCGGTAACCACTGGAACTTGGGCTACATACACTGAATAGTGAAGAATAAAAATGGATGAAGACTTACTTGATGTGCTGGACGTGCTACCTGTCTTCCAGTTTCCTCGCTGGATATTATGAGAAACAGGAGGGGGCAGGGGCGCAATTCTGGGCACCGGCTCATACACTGCACACTCTAATGTCGTACTGGCGCCCCAGTATAAATTCCTCTGCAATGGAGCGCTTATCTCATAATCTAAGAGCAGAGAGACCACGTTAAAAACATGAGCTTCTCTTAACATTTATATAACAATACAACGCACTCATAATCAGTCCATGTTGAGATATATGTATCCCAAATAAATACTTTTAGATGATAAAGAATCCAAAATATAAATTACCAAGCTCTTTTCCTGTCTTTTCTCTCTCTTTGTGACGCCTGGTGATGCTCTCTCGTAATCTCTTCAGATTTTCCTTTAAAAAAACAAACAAAAAAACAAACAGCACACACACGACACACATTAGATCTAATCATTGACCACACCAAACAGATCATAAAGTTAGTATAGTCAATACACCTTCTGATAGCGTATGGAATTCGCCCTCCGCTCATGGTCAAACTGCCAGGCCTTGAACTCTTGGACGGCCTCCTCCACAGTAATTTCTCCCACTTTCACCCTCTCCTGCAGAGATATGAGCTGCCTCTGTCCAGGGGTCTTCATCCCAGCATAGGGGTCATACACAGGCGTTGGGGCGTCCATCGCAGGCCGAACTGCACAGGTGGAAAATCAAACTTACATCTTACAACCGAAATTTTCCACAATGCATTATTTCATGCCCAAGGAGAACATAGGATGACATTGCTTGGTTTGCTTGTGTGGTGGTAAGGAGCCTGTCTCTCCTTTCTGTTTTGAAAATGAAAATGTACAACTGCTTTGCTCTCAGAAACTAAGCTAAAAATGCCAGAACACAAAATAGCTGTAACCACTCGGCAAGAGAGGCTCATGTCTGGCAACGGTAACAGCACAAAGATAGTAAAGTTCATGTCAGGGTGATTAGAGTCAAGTTGTAAAACTATGTTTTACCTGCAGGATATTCTGTCTCCTCTGTTTTACTCTTGGATGTCGCTTTATCTGAAAACACTGTCAAAAAAATATCAAGTCTTCATCTTTGCCAGGTGAGCAGTTTTAAGAAATGTGATGTGTAAAAAGAGAAGAAAAACTGCAAAATACCTCTAGAGATGTAGGTCATGGTTTTTTCAGTCTCAGGCGTGGCCTCAGGTCTGGGGATCGGTGCTGGTGGACGGTTCTGGATTAATGGCTTACAGGTGCTAATTGCATCCACAATATCGTAGATGTCCTCTGGGAAAATGTTGTAGGGATCCTCCTCTTCTTCAATTTGATCTAAGTCATTCTGATTGTCTTTTTGCTCATCTTCAGGCTGCTCATTGCTGTCCTGGGTTACAATGTTGTGAGGTTTTGCTGGAGGATAAAATGTCATCACATTAGTCAAACTATATTCTATATTTGTAATGTTTTTATTGAATGTCATTACTTTTATAGTTGTTTAAATGTTTACCTTGGAAAAACTTCCGAAGCATAGCTTCTTCAGGGTTCTCATCGACTACATTCATCACCTCATCTGATGAATACAGCACAGTGATCATCTGTAACTCTTTAACACACAAGTTTAGTTTTGAAAAATCAATAAATAAAATCATGTTGATCTTACATAGGTCCTCTGCGCATTCAGGGTCAATCCCCAGCATTGACTCGTATATGTCTTCTGAACAACCTGAGTACTTCATCATGATATCTTGAGATGTAGTTTTCATGAGTTCGTACACCTCTGCAGCCTCCTCCGTGTTAGTAGCATCTTCAAAGTGCGACTTGAGCATATCAGCCGTCTCCTATTTTAGTTTGAACACAGGAAACAGGCAGACAATGACTAACTAGATATGAAAACCTGAGGCTGAATCCAAATGTCTGCATTCACAAACTTAAAAGGATGCAAATATTGTATTTGGCTCCTCTTCCAAACAGAATGTTTAGTTTTTTAGTATTTTTATGATTATTGTATGCCTATAGTTGACAGAGACATTGACAATAGACAGGAAATGGCGGGGAAGAGAAAAGAGGATTTAAATGCAGCAAACGTCCGTCCAGACTCGCTGCTCAAATCATATATTATTAGAAAAAATACTTTGAACTGAGTTAAAGTGTCACACATGTCAGTTCATGTCCACAAAAAACAATTATGCCCTTAATTCCCATATCATAGAGCATTTCTTGCCTTGGCCGTGCAGCATCCTTGCACTTTGCAAGTCTGTAAGATGCACATTTGGATTCATCCTGACCGTGAGAAGAAAATATCCAAAACATTGTTCAATACCACATAAAAAGAAGAAAAGGCTTCCATCATCTGACTTACAACAAATTCGTCCATGAACTGTCTGAGATCCAGGAAGCCACTCTTCTCTGCCAGCGTGTTTGGGTAGTCTCCGTGTTTATTCATCACACTGTAAGCCTGCAGAGCCCCAGGACACTGAAGGAGGATGGTGGTCAGCTTCTTCAGGCCGTACTTAGCAGCAAAGTGGAGCAGCGTGGGAAGCTCTACATTACGCTGATCTGCAAAACAAAGCAACAAAACGTAATCACTTAATCTCGACTCTTAAAAGATGCTTTTACTTTCTGTAATTTCATTTTACAAAATCAAACAGGTACTGCAATGAGGCAACATTATATAGTTGTTGTTCTTGTGCAACAACAGAAGATCTGTTGCCAACTTCAAGGAATTATAACGCCTCACAAATTAGTAACTAACAGAACTAAATTAAAGTGCTGTGCTCACATGTCGCCATATTGTCTTCTTCGATCTGTCTGATTCCAAAGAGCTGAAGACCAGTTGCAGGAATTCTGGATTTTAATGAGTCAGATAGCATGTTGTCCAGTGATTGTGTTGCATTGGACGTCAAGTTGAAGGCCTGAAAGTTTAAAAAAAAAGTGACATAACTAGATGAGACACTAAACTAACAAATGAATCCTGTCAAATACGATGTTGCGTAATGTCTAACCTGGCAGATGAAGTTAACAGGATCAGTGGCCTGATCAAGAAACCGACTGACTTCACCCATACTGGTATAATAAGTAACAGGCTTCAAGCTGACGCAGGAACCGTCAATGTGCATTGTGAGTGAGACCACCCCAGCAGGCATATCTAGATGAAAACAAGACAACAAAGAGATTCACATTTTACTTTTCAAAACCATTAACTCAAGTTGCGATCACGGTTTATGGTCACATGACTTCCTGCAGATACTTGCCAGGGGCAGCAACACTTATCGTGTATTCATTCTCCACAAAGCCTGTGAGCCTTTTGGCAGCTTCACTTTCAGATGAAAATTCCACCTGTGGTGTCAACTGGAGATCTAGTTTCTGTGAGAAAATGATGAACAGCATCTCCTGTTGCTTAAACCAGAAGGAAAATAAGAATTAACAATACTTTCTTGTCATTATTTACAAAGAGGACATTACAAGTTCTCATCTAGAAAACAAAAAATGAAAATTAATGTTGCATGTAGCCTATATGGAATTTGTATCTCCTTCATATAAATATTGCTTTTAATAGCTTCAGTCTTACCCCACAGAGAACTCTGCTTGGTTGAACTGTGAGACAGCTGAAGTGCGACGGAGCACTAACTTCCTCATCAGGTGAATCCCTTGTGCTCGCAGGTTTTTCTTCATCATTCAGGACAGTTTCTTTTAGCTCCCCTGACACCACTTCCTCTCTTTCATCAATGGTGGGATTTTCAGTCAGAAATGCTGCTGCAGCTTTGCTCTCATGTTCAGCCTCCACTTGTCTATCTAAGAATAAGAAGATTATTATTAAAATTCTAGAACTTTTATAGATACTTAAATATTTAAAATAAAATATTTAATTTAGCCTTTAATTATCCAGCTAGGGCTTAAAGGTCCAGTGTGTAAGATTTAGGTGAAAGGGAACTATCGGCAGAAAGTTGATGTAGAATAATCTTCATGATGTTTTCACTAGTTCATTTCATCTAAATTATATGAATTGTAGTTTTCTTGACCCCAGAAAAGGCCCTTTATATAAAAATACTTTATATTTACATCGAGGGGACCCTCTCTACGGAGCCTGACATGTTTTTTACTTGAGTCCAGACTCGACAAACTAAACACCTTTTGAGTTTTATGACATCTGAAGGCTACCACGGTTTCTTTTTCATGTTTGGAAGGAGAGGGTGAGGTGAGGGGTGTTCAGCTGCAACATGCAACTTCAACACTAGATCACAAAATTCTACACACTGTACCTTTAAGGCCACCTTGTCACACATCTGTGAAGTTAGTTTTGGTTTTATTTAGTTACCGCCACCAAGGAGGTTATTTTTTCACCCCTGTGCATTTGTTTTTTTGGTTGGTTGGTTTGTTTGTTTGTTAGTTAGCAGGATTTACCTTTTAAGAGATTTAAATAAATAAATATGTATTAACACCATCAATATTTAATGGTTTAAATCTGCTAAGATTAGCTTCAGACATATAATTATACTAATAAGATTTAAGAGTGAAATGTGAGACTTTAAAGGCACAGAACAGAAACAATTAAGTGTGATCATATGTTGCGTACTGTCAGTGATGGCCTCCAAAATGGTGCTGACGTAAACAACAGGCTCATCTTCAGAACTGATTTTTCTCCAGCTCTGCCATCCATCAAAACTCTCTGTCTGTACGTCTTTCTCTGAGATGCCGCACAGCAGCACGACCACTCTGTGTGGTGGGTAAAGGAGTTCATGAAGTGCGCCCTGAAGGTCAGCTTCACAGAGCATTTCCAGGAACCCTCCGGTGAGGAGCAGCACGATGCACTTGCAACTCTGGAAATATTCAAAGTTATATCCGTGGAGCTGATCTGCTGGGCCCACCGCGTACAGCATAATAGACCTTTTGCGGAATTTTCGAGAAGATTTTAAGATCTGCTGCAAATACGCGGCCCATTCCTGAGCTTCAGCTGTGTGCAGGATTACCAGCTCGTATGCTGAGAGGGATTTTGAATTTGCTAAAAGAAACAAACAGAAGAAATAAGTTTGTGTCCAGTAAATACATTCAAACAGCCTCATTGCCAAAACATTAAATTGAAAAATATTGGGCATTAACTACTCTAAATTACTCACTGATCACCAACACGAAGCATGAATCACAATCCTGTAATCAGCTCAAACATTACACTAATGACTCTGGTGAAATTATGTGTTGGTTTCCACGTCGGAGCAGGTAAGTGTTTGTCGTGGAAAGGCTCCACAACACAGCAGCTGTCCGGCTGTGGAATGTCAAGGTGACTGTGGTTGGAGAATGAATGTCCGATCTGTTTGATATTCCAGCTCAGAGTCAACAAGTAGTTGTGCAAACACGGCGCTGTGTCAACACTGGTCAGAGTAATTTTGTTTGACTCATTACAGTGTTTAATCAGGTCAAGTTCACCTCTGTACACGCTAACTGGGGGAGAAACCCAACGCCAGTATTCACCCTCATCACAGTTCCCACTGACAGCGTGGCACAGGGACTTGCCATCTGTTTATTAATGGACTGATAACATGACTGACTTAAATTTAGACATGTGGGAAAACACAAAATAACCTTTGAATGTAGCAGCACAGCAAAGCTAAGCTGCTACCTTCCTCTTTTTTATTACGTTAAAAAAAAAAAGAAATTTCAATTAAACCTCAGGTTAAAAAAGTTCATTTAAATAAACATCATATTTCAACAGATGTGATATAGAAAAAAAGTAACAACTTTTCAGTGCAGTCTTTATGTAGTTACAGTAAGTATTTTGGTTATAGACACCAATTGAATGTAACTTTACCGACAGTTATAAACAATGGGTCATATTTACCTGATTCAGTAAATGAGATGGTTTCTTCCATGGTTGTGAAGTAGTCGTTAAGTGCCCAGAGTCACTGAACAAGCAGCCTCATTTGCCCAAATATGTCCTTTCAATTTGTCAAGTTTACTGGAACTCCTTTCCTCTTCAACTGAAAATACGATAGCTTTCACCAGCAGTACGCTTTTGCTCAGCTGTATTAATAGCAACAACTCAGTTTCCTGATTCTGGTGACACTGGCCCACTTCCTGAAACAGTTGAAGAAGTGAGAAAATGCACCACTGTCGTGTCAGAATGTGCAACATCTCACTGGCTGCACTTGTTGATTAATCAGGGCTACGGGGGGGAGGGGGGGATTCAGTTCAGAGTGACTGTTGAATTTAATTTTGCGTGTACAAAAGATTTATAATAATAAAGATAATTGACAATAAGAATATAGTTATTCCATTTAGGAAATTCATATAGGAACACACAGCACACACACACACACCCACCCACACCCACACACACACACACACACAACCACCCACCCACACACACACACACACACATGATCAATTCACCTGTGTTTGAGTGACATGCCTCTTCTTGTTTTCACTTCCTTAACAGGGTGTTTCACAGTTAGGATACTGATACTGTGAGACTAACTAAACCTCAAACCAATAGATAACATTCGTTCAGCTCTTAAAAGTCAAACAATGATAATGTTAACCCAAATGTAAGACTCTAGCAGGTTCTGATGTCAAATTTAATGCTAAACTACGCTATACTTTGTGGTGCACTATTCATGAAAGTATTTGACCGATCATTGACAAACACACTTATTTTATATGTCCTTAGGGATCCAAGCAATCTATCAGGATGTAAGCGACCTGCCTATGCTTCGAGCAGACTGGATTCATACAACACAACTATGCTGAGTTGGAAGATTATTGTTAGAGAGTGGAGGTCTGTGGATTTACCTTTAGGACATGTATGGTTCTCTCAGCTTGGCGTTGTCACAGCCTATGAAAAACTGTCTTTTAGGATTCATTATCAATGGGATACATATAGTTTGAAATGGCACAAGTACCTAAGTGACAGTAAAAAGCCTTTGAAACGTGTCACAATCTGGTAAGATCCCTTTTACATGTAATTTACCAGTATTTGTAGTAAATCAAGTATTCTCCAAACTTCTATGAATCTGAACCCCTTTGTTGACATTGTAATTTAGATTATTATGCTATTGTTATGTTTAATCAGGATGTGTTTTAATTGGTATGTACATGAATGTGTATATATACATATATATAGATATAAATATGTCAGTTCACTATTATGTTTATATCTTGAATCAAGTAAAGTTATTTGTGTGCTCAAATACTGAGAAACAATTACACAATGTACACAACGTACATGGACACACAATGAATTTCAGGCAGACTTTATGAATGAGTCATTAAACTGAATGAATCAGCTGAATGAGGAAATTATTTCTCAGTTTGTAAAATTCCAGATAACCCCCAACCTCACAACAGCTGATTGCAACACTAGGCACCACACTCTAATGTCCACCAGAGGGCAGCAGACAATCACTTACATTGACTAGCATAGTCCCCATCACTGGTGACAGAGCAGACAACAAACAGACGGAGGTGGTCAGTACTGCAGAGGGGCCCACTAACCTTTAAACGGGTGAGCCAAAACATTTAAACATAACTTTTCCATGTTACTCTGGGTTTTATTTAACTTTTTTGGCCACAGTGGCTGAACAACAGACTGCAGTTTATATAACCGCAGGGAGCTGGCTTGTTTGTCTGTACGTAGAAGTAACACAACTGGAAAAAAGCTCTCTCTCATTTGTTTAAGATAATATTAGTGTGGAAGACTCAACCAAAGAAAACACGACCATGCCACATCAGAGGAGGGAAACTGTTTGTGCTGCAGCAGGCCGGGAGGATGACTGCACCCTTCTGGAAGGACACACATATGTTCTGTGGTAATGTGGACGCACACTGTCTTACTTTGGAGAGATTGACGTGGAAAGATGACAACGAGTTTTGACCTTTGGATTCAGGAGGGGTTTGGAATCTCTATGTCTGAAATGCATTACAAACTGTATTATATTTACCAACTACCAATTTATTTAACATTTAAATATATTTATGTGTTACATATTGGCCTCTAAACATTTTAAAATGGATCAACAACCATAACCTAGTCCACATTATAACTGTTTAAAAATGTTTATAAAATGTTTTGGGCTGCAAAAACAAAATACAGAATTGTTTTTTCACGCTGCATTGGAAAAGTATTGAAGGCAACACTTGAGGTACATTTCCCTGACACGGCTCAAAATAATAACAATAATTAATAATAGTCACAATATTATTTCTTAAGTTTAAAGACAGATGTTTCCTTCTTAGTGAAGGTTGAGGTTTTTAAACTGTTTATAGGCAGCAGAACATTTTACCAATTAATGTAATCAATTGAGTGATATACCTCCTCACTGTGTTTACACCTTGCAAAAGCATTATATCCAAATGTATTAGAATTTAGAATCCCTAAATATTGATTTAGTTTTATTTCTCAGCCCTAGCTCAGACCCATTTAATTAATTATAGGTAGTGAGGTAAATACTAATAAACACTCAAGCATTCATGAGTGATCATTTTATCATCATCATCATCATCATCATCATCATCATCATCATCATCATCATCGTATGGGAATTGATGAACCTGATCTCAGCATCTGCAACAGATTTTTATCACTGCCCTCAGCAAAATACCAGACCATCACATCTCTCATAAAATTATTTCAACAAACGCCCAAACTCTTGTTGAATCAGTCAAGAAGCCATTCTCGGGGGTTCGCCTTTTGTTGAGTTTTGTTTTATTTTGGCAACAATAGGTTTGTCCTGCCCTCAGTCCTCAGGCTCTGTAAACACGGTTAGAAAATCACCAAGCGTATAGTTGCTTGTCTAACCACTAATTTCAGCCACAAAATCAATTTGTACAGCTTTGCTTTTCTCCAATAATACAATTTGTTTTGTTTCTGCTTTGACCTCTTTCAACAATGTGGACCTTTTTAATGGCAGCAGCAAAAGTTCACCCTCTGACTTCTGAAGCTGCCTGTGAAGAGCAGGGTGATCCATGACCCGTCTTTAAGTACAATTTCCTGTAGAAAGAGAATCCCCTAATTTCTCCTAACTCTGCCATTAGCTACCATAAGCATGACCGGCCCGTTACCTTTTGTTTGGGATCCCTTGAAACCACTATCTTATAGGTGGCTCAAATCAAATCCCTGCAGCCTGAGTTTAATAAGAGAATATTTTGCCCCTATATTTTAACCTTGTTATCTAATATCCTGTCTTTTTAGTCCGCAGTGTGTTTTCAGCACACAGAGCAGCAGTGCCAGAGAGTGTGCGTCGGTTCACAACAGAGGCCTGACATCCTGTCTGTTGGAGCACAAAAGTTCACGAGTGGACTAACAGATTTTTGCGGGAATCTGCTATACTGGCATTGGATTAGTTGAATTAACAGTTTGCAACTCACAGAGCCAGCCTTTATTTTTTATTTTGACTCTACCTGAGCCATCGAGATGATTGTTGCTTAATATGAGGCTCAATGTGAGATTATTCACTAATTGATTCATTTTATGAGGATATGCACAATTAATGCTTTAAGATAAATAATTAAACCTGATCAGAAAAGATTCTGCGACTTCTCTGAGCTAACTCATTGTTACTCAGAGTCCTGAAATCTCTTTTGTAGCTGTCAGACACATGATTGCTGTAACAGGGTACTGCATTCGCCCACATTATGTCTCCCAGATGAAAACTTTGTGTTTCCGCAAAGGTAATTTTTGAGGAACAGAAGAAACACAGGCGTGTTTTAAATAGATGGCAGTGGATCTTTGCCCGTTGAAACACTTTCATGAGCTCATGAAATTCTCTGAGTTCACAGTGAAGCGTGTAATTCCACAATGACAGAGGAAGATTGAAAATATCAAAAGTGAAGTTACTAAGCACCGAGCACTCCGAGGCAGGAGGCTGCGACAGAGGGGGAGCGCAGTCCTGTACATCTAATATTGCAGACAAAATGGTCACGTTACCGTCTCATTTACTGTACTTCCCCATGCTGGAAAAAAGCTCTACCTTATATCTGCACTGCCTCTGAGGCTGTTTTGGAGACTTAAAGTGGAGGAAACCAGAAACAAAGGCACAATCCGAGGACATGGAGTGCAATCTTGAAATGGAAAACTGAAATGGGGAAATGGTCTCTCGCTGAAATGTTATTTGGACGATAGCCTGCATAAGAAAAGAACTGTGTTTGGTTTCTCATTGAGAGTCACCAGCAGGGCTCATTGTGATAAGAAAATAAGTCTAATGTTACCTGATCTGGTATAATGTGGACCAATTACCACTCCATTGCACTTCATTACAGGACTGTAATAGGGCCGGGGGTCAGTGCTTGAGATGGAGTAGCAGAGTGAGTCGTCATTGATAATATGATAAAAACTGACAGTGAGAGGCCCCTCTGACAAATTATTGAAATTTACAGTTGATAGGGAAACACTATAACCTCATTTGGTAAGCAGCTGGCAAGCAGTTGTACAAAGCAGGTCCTCTAACACAATGAGAGGCTTATAAAGGTAGGGAAATCCAAAACTATCACAGAATAGTTTTAGACTCCTGCTCATTTGCTTCTGGCACTCAGTGTATGTATTCGGTTTTTAGAAATATCTTAAGTCACACAGATCACTCGCGTGGACGGTATGTTTCCCTCCAGCAGGTGGATTGTGGAGTCATTCTCTGGAACGGCATAACCCATCATTATACATCGCAACAAAAATACGCTGACAAAACAGCTTGAACAGACAAATCAAATCCGACCGCCGTTATTTTTATTCCTAGTGTGTCTCCAGAGTGCAACAGAGAGAGGCGAACAAAATATAAAATCACCACTGTGCTGTTGGAAACGGTATAGCAACCATTTGTTTGCCTCGGTTAAAGTGCCTCCATTTGAGGCGCCTTGAATAAATACATCAAATAAACTGCCATCAGACATACATTTTCAATCCATCAAGGTAATCAGATTCTGTTTACCTGAATGGGAACTATTGTAAAATGTTATTAAAAAACTTAAATGGAGTTTAGGTGTAGAATAGCTAGGCAGAGGAAATGATGAGCAAACAGCGGGATAAGATTCCAATTACTATTAAACAAGCATTGCATTGACTAGTAAAGAGGAAAATAGCTTTGACATTTTCCACAGCTGGAGCTCCCACCTGACAGGCTTTGTCGTACGAGAGCACGGCAAATTCAATTCAGGGGCTTTAAGACATGAGATTGTCAAAGCATTTGTCTGAAATATACTGCTGCATTTTCAATTATTATATCTGCAGCAAACATTTATATGTGTGGTTCAAAAATCAGTGGTTATTGTGTAATTTTATATATAAACAATGAATCTTATGTAGTTTGATTAAATAACTGGAATCAAATAGAAAAGACAGAAGGCAACAGAAGGCATGTTCACAATGTGTCTCTTCCAGCTCTAACCTCTGTGACTGCAGCACATCCCAGTGTTAAGAATTCAACAAGGCCATAAAGTCATTACCTTGTACTGAAGGAAATATAATTTATGAATCATTTGGAAGCCCAGTTAAGTTTATCTCACATATCGAAATAGGCAATATATTGAATGCATGCTTCATTGATCAAAACTGTTGTGGAACAACTTATCAAGCCGCCATCTTTAACTACTATTTAAAGATCATTTTTTTCTTTCATCTACCGTCTTCACTCGGCTGAAATCACTTCGACATGATAAGACAGTCAATTTGGATGTCAGCTCTGGCTACAGTAATCACACTGGCCACTAGATAAGTGTGACTTTATTTATTTATATTGAGCCCCGTGCGTGTCTAGTTGAAGATAATAGTTTCATTTTCCTGAGAAAGTTTGCCAGCTGCCCTCATTGTGGAGTAAATGTGACAGATTCCTGCTTCATTAGGATTCATTGGGCTGACAGAGATGGATTCATGTGATGAATGAACAATAGCAAACGCAATAAGCAGGATTCCATAAATCTCTCTATTTATATAGCACTGGCTATATGGCTATATGTCTTTTGGATACATGCTTTCCGGCTTTTAGATTTACAGATTGCAGCTGACAGCAAGAGGCTAAAGATGAATGTTCACGTTCTAAAAAGTAATTGTTCAAGAGTAGCACCACCAACATATCAAATGTGCCAATTACTTTCAAGTTTTAGGCGATTTTCTCTTCAAATTCAAGACA